GCATCTCACAGATAGTTAAGTGCTCAGCAAGTAAACTCTTACTCTCCCAAAGAAAATTTCTGTTGTTCAGCTACTTGATTAAGAATTGTGGTTTGCTCTCATGGAGGAAGGAGTTATTAGTAGAATGAAGAACTCCAGCTGCCACAGCAATCTCTGAAGTCTCAGTGGCTTTCCACCATGAATATTTGCTCATACAGATCAGGCAGCCTTCCTCCATCTTGCAACTAAGTCATCTGGAGCACACAGTGTCCAGAATCACAGTGGGAGGAGGCAAGTGGGCTTTTAACTGCCTTGACCTGGAAGTGAAACATCACTTCGTTTCACCGCCCATTGGCCCCAAGTAGTCACATGGCCCAAAAGCAAAGGAGGCTGGGAAATGCAGGAAAACACATGGGCTGTTTGGTAAGTTTAGCCTCTAGGCCTACCCTAACCTAACCTAGGCTTTACATCACTGAAACAGAAGTGAAATTATTCACCCCATTGGGAGAGAGGCGAGCAATGACTTTGAGGATTTAGTCAATCAGTGTTCATGGATTCTTTGCTGAAGGGTACAGATTAAATGTGCTAATCATGTACTAAGTAGGGAATGGATAAGCAAAGTTTGTACCAACACTGTTCTCAAAGTAATGGCCTTATCTGTGTTGGTTTCTATTGGGAATCCATTGTATGAATCAGGTCTTGTTTTTTGGTTTTTTATATTGAGGGACTGAAGAAAGGACAAGACAATTCAATTAAAATGGGCCTTTCCTAATGGCAGTACAACTAAGGTCTTAATTTTCCTGCATTTGATATTTTGCTTTGGATTGATTTGTTATAGAAGTATGTTAGTGTCTCATCACCAAGTGAAAATGTTGTTTCTTAGCTGGGTGTGGTGATGTACATTGTAATCTCAGCACTGACAGGCTGATACAGGAGGATCATGAGTTCAAAGCCAGCCTGGAATAGATAGCAATACCCTGTGTAAAAAAAAAAAAAAAACTTATTTTTTTCCTATGGATTTCTTCTTTAGCATTCTTCCATACCCCTCAAACTCCCAACCCCTGGAGTATCTTGAAAACAATGTTGCTTGTTGAACAGCTTTTTCTCATCTCCAAGTGTGGGCTTAGAGGGAACCATATTCCCCACCTGGCATCACAGATGTCTCTTTCTTGGATTTTATAAGTTAAATGCTTGCTTGATGGGGGCAAGGTGTGTGAGATAAGAACTGTGTTTGTGGGACCTTGTCACATTTCCTTAAGGTATCTTTCTAGAGAATAATCCTAAACCAAGACATTGGGTCCTGTGACACTTCAAAGAAGAAAGATAGGTTTATTCATCCTTTGATTTAAGACTTTTTGAAAATGGTATTTTCTACTTTGACTAATTACAGATTTCCCACTAAGATTAAGGGAAGGGACTTGTCATTTGGTCAAAACTATGATAGTTCTTTATGTTTGCATAGCACTCTACAGTTTTCAAAGTCCATTTCATTCACTCATTCGTTCCCTACCCTTCTCACCTCCATCTTTCTGGATGAGCAAGTTTCCCATGGGTAGATTGCTTCTATCCTTGGGAGCACATCGTATTTCCACTTAGGTGTCCACATTTCTAGTGGGCACAGGCTTTTGTCATCCAGGTGAAGGAGACAGAGAATTACTACAGAAACAGACGGGAAGAGAATAAACAGATCCAAATCTATGTAAATTCATTTGTCCATTCATTCACCCATCCACTCATCTATTTACTCACTATTCATTAAAGAGTTATTAAACATATGCTGTGCTAATGTCTCCCATCTGATGATATGATATAACTGATAGAGTGTTTCAAAGTAGCATATGAGACTAGGAAAGCCTCCATTTAAACACTTGTCTTGCCACTTATTAACTTCCAGAATTTTGTAACTAGGCAGTTGGGAAATTATATAGTCATTCTGTATTTATATGGTTTAGTCATGCTTCATTTTCTGTTCTGTGAAAAAAACAATAATACAGTGATTGCAGCTGGTGCTGGCATGGATCAGCCAAGCCTTCCAGCTGTCCACCTGTTTCCTACAAACACCAAAGGGTAATCCTCGGATTAGCCTTCTTTCTGATTAAGTCATCAGACATGGTGTTTAAATGTTCTAACTCTAGGAAAAACTTGTGCAAGGAAGATGCCAGTGCTAGAATGCAGACTCACCACTTTTCTTTCATAACTGGGCCTCCGGGTGTCTCCCATCAGAGAGTGAGTTCTAATTAGGGCCTCGGCAGTCAGTCCCAGCTGAGTCTGTACAGCAGCGATAGCCAACAGAGTCCAAGCAAGCTATCCTCAAGGCAAATTCTTGCTCTGCCACTTAACTACTTAGCATACCTGGAACAGCTTGCTTAATCCTCCTTAGCCTCAGCTTTTTCATGTGTAAACAGAGAGACTGGATCCACACTATAGGATTATTGGTGACTCAAAGGATACAGCTTCTGTTAAGTGCCCTGTGTGGCTCCTTATCTGGTCAATACTGTGCTATCTTCTGGAACCCTGTTTATGTTCAGGCATTTACTGGATGCCAGATTGCTGAGATGTATATAGATCCTACCTCCAGAGAATTTATCATTTATCAGGGTAGAGCCTTTCAACAAGTAACTGCCTGTTTCATTACCGTTCTGGGGCGGTCTTGTGGTATGAGGTGGCTCCATGGGAGAATTGCCTGGGAAAAGGAAGAGGCCAGGGCTAATCATTTAGTATGGGATGAAAGTGATTTTTCAGGTAAGAAAGGAAGGCCAGGTGTCAGTGGCTCACACCTGTAATCCTAGCTATTCAGGAGGCAGAGATCAGGAGGATCGTGGTTTGAAGCCAACCCGGGCAAATAGTTCATGAGACCTATCACAAAAATAACCAACATAAAAAAGGGCTGGTGAAGTGGCTCAAGTGGTAGAGTGCCTGCCTTTCAAGTATGAGGCACTGATTTCAAACCCCAGTGCAGCCAAATATATATATATATATATGTATGTATGTATATATATATATATGTATGTATGTATGTATATGCCTACATATTCTACCTGAAAGAAGATGGGAAAGTTTTTATATGGCAATAACATTATCAATATTGCCAGGTAGGGAGGTAATAAGCAATTTTACTCCTTTAGGGTTTTTTCCCTTTGAATTTTCTTTAACGAACATGCATGGCTTATGCAATTAAAAAATAAAACAAGATTGTCTTTTAAAAGAGTGATTTTCCCTAGGGTACTAAACATGAAACTGGCATCAGATAGAGCTATAAATTCATCCCAATGTGTTTGACAGGAGAATTTTCCATTGTATCAAAGCTTATAAAAATATGCAAGTCCTTTGATTTAATAATTTCCTGTCTAGGAGGTGGAATGACATATGTCATCTCTCAATATAGATTAGAGACTATAAGTGTATATTTATTTTCTAAGTTTGCAGAAAAGAACAAATGTAGTAAAAAGAAATTCAGGCCTCCTTCTGGGTTCCTATAATTATCATTTCCTGGTCAAGCTGCCAAATCCAAACAGGTGTCCCTTTGTGGGTACCCACAGCTAGGTAAACTATAAAGACTCATATTTCTTACTCTTTCTGGTGCACTATTCGTAATACATTAAAGAAATGGGGGTGGGCAGTCATGCAGAAAGCTTTCTTATGTCCCAGGGTATTTAATTAGACATTCTGGGTCATTAAAAAAATCCTACACTATTTCAAAGTCAAAGTCATACATAAGCCGCAGAATGGTTATGCTGAGCGCCTGTCAGAATGTCTTTGCCTGGAATCCCAGGGTATGATGCATGAGTCTGCCCTCCAGAGAGTTAATGGAACCAGTGTTTTAATAAGCCATGCCAAATTTAAAAATTGAAATCAGTACTACTCTCTTTTGCAAGGGGAGGTGAGACAATTATTCTGCTGATTCTGAGAGCCACAAAGGTAGAAGGAAGAGTAGAATGAGGTCCCCGAGGACCTGTCACCCAGCATCAGCAGCATTTTACCAACTCATTTCCTCTATTCTCCACCACCTCTTTTATAGAAGCCTTTTTTTTTTTTAAACTTAGAGACATCATGTCATTTCACCCATAAATACTCATCTCCTATACAGGTCATCCATACATATACTCATCCCTAACTGGAAAAGCACCTGAACTAGTCACCATACTATTGTGTCACCTATCAAAATTAATAACAATCCCTTAAAATATATCACTTGTTATGAAGACTGTATGTTATTTTTTCCCAGTTGTCTCCAGACAACTCAATTGTTTGAATCAAACAAGATCCAAATATTGCATTTTATGCCTTTTTCACAACATCTTAAAACTTCAGCTATTCAAGACTGAGTATATATCATTGTACCTCTGTAGGCAACATAAAAAACTGGAATTTTTACTTTAGTCATTCTTCCTCCTATCCTTCATTACCAATCCATCATCATTGTCATCCTATGACCTTTAGCAAAACTCAGTTACATGGTTTCGTCCCTTTATGTATCAGACCTTAACTCTAAGTGACCTCTCTGTTGTTTTCCAAAAGTCAAATCCATCTCAGCATCTAAGTAAGTATTTTTTATCAATGTAGATTATGAAATCTGTCTTCAGGCAGTGCTGAAGCATCTCCGTGTGGATCCAGAAAAGGATTTGTGAAACAAGATGTGGACAGTGTGTCCAATTTGAAGGGTCCTCTTCCCTAGTTGTAGAAATCAGGGGGAAAAAGTATACAAAACCCCTCCAATACACTAGAGAAACTCAGTGGTCATTTCCAAGCTTTAGTATTTTGGGAGGCTGGAGACATGGCTTAAGTAGTAGAGCACATGCTTAGCAAGTGTTTAGCCCTGAGTTCAAACCCCAGTACTGAAAAAAAAAAAGAAAAGTGTTATAAACCAGAGATTGATCTTACCACTACCTCATTTGAATGCACTGAGTGTTTATCTGCCCAAACACCTGCTTGATTTACCTGCTCTAACAGGGACTATTTGATTTACCATTAAATATAATTGTTTACCATTAAATATAATTGATGCTTTTATTTCCCCACAGATAATTGCTTACCAGCCGTACGGAAAATCTGTGGACTGGTGGGCGTACGGTGTCCTGTTGTATGAAATGCTAGCCGGACAGGTAACGTGTCATCACATTTTCATGTTTCATGTGACCACTTCTCCCTTGCTCAGGTAGTGATAACAGGTCCTGACAGTGTCACGTGGCTGATGTTGGTCTGACCTCCCTGACCAGGGAAAGAGGGAGAAATCCCCCTTGAGAGTGGTTACATTCAATATTTATGGAAATTGTCTTCTGGTCATAAACAACTCCCAGCTGGAAAGCTGGAGCCTGGAGTTTAGACGGTAGCTGTCACTTTATGCTCCAAGCATATTGGTGACCGCAATGGCTGCTATGGCTTTTCAGCATCTGAGAAGTGGATTTAGGCTACAGTTTCCTGCAAGTTCATCTACAAAGATTGCTTCAGCCGCTGCCCTGGTGTGTACTGGTATTATCATTTAAGAATGAAGACTGTTAGACTTGGGAATGTTTTAATGGCTCCCTTCCTCCCCTTCTGTCTCACTCTTTGCAATTCACTGTAATTTTCACAAAAATCCAGCAAGGCTGAACTGCCAGTTAAGAAAAGACAAATTAGGTTTGGCTTATGATATCGGAGAGCCTAATCATTATTATGATAATGATAATTATTGCCTAATGTGACAATCCTATGGTGGGGGTTGGGGGCAAGACCGGTCCACCCAGTTAGTCAAGGACAACTTCCTCCCACTCATTGGCTGCACCATCTTTGACAATCTTGGGTTCCTACACTGAACCCTCCTCATTTCAGCAATGAAGAGAGAGCAAGAGGACAGTTACAGAGACGGTTTTAGGACCAGGTCTGGAGGTGGAATGTATCATTCCACTTAGCTGCAAAGTTAAGGGGTGGGCAGCAGAGCTTTTCTGAGAGTTCGGCCAGGAGAAGCAGGTTTGGTAAGCACCTAGCAGGTGTCTGCCTTTAAACCTAAAAATGGTTCTGTTTTGGGCAGCTTTTTATAGTTCCCAGAACACAAGTATTAGTGCTGAGGACTTTGACCTCCATAGCCAAAACCCTAGTAAAAGAGAATGGATAGAAACACTATGCTAAGAACAGAAACACCACCAAAGAAATCTGTGTTCCTGGAAGCAGAGTCTCATTTCTGACTTCTTGCATCCAACAACTCATTTGTTTATTTATTTATTGAATGATCACTGTGTGCCAAGCAATAATAGTGAACAAAACAGACAAAAATCCTTGTCGTCATGAAGCTTATGGCTTAGAGAAGGAAAGCGACAATAGACTGGTTAGATAAAGAAATATATGACATGTTAATGATAAGCTAAGAGGAAAAAAATTAAGCAGGAAAAAGAAAAGTGTTAGAGGAGGGTTGAAATTTTAGCTAGGATGGTCAAGAAGGGCCTCATATAGAGGATAAAGTTAAATCCAAAAGGGAGTGTGTGTGGTGTGTGTGTGTGTGTGTGTGTGTGTGTGTGTGTATGGAGGAAGAACATTCCAGGCAGAAGGAACAGCAAGTGCAAAGGCCCTGAGGTGAGAATGTGTGGCCTTGTTTAAGAAATGAAGGGGACTCCACCCATGTGGCTGGAGCACAGTGAGCTAGTGGGAGTAGGAGGCCTGAGGTCAGAGAGGAAGAGATCCTGTGGCCATGTGAGCATAGGGGTCATTGCAAGACCACTGGCTTTCACTCTGGGATGGGAAGTCATTGGTGACCTCTTCTCTGTATCTGTCATTATATCTCATATTCCTTAGGTACTAAAACAGTCACTAGATGTGCAAGGATTTAAGATCCTAGCCTATGTTTGGCCATCATTTCTCAGTGGTGTTAAGACTTGATTAACATAAAAGAATGGTTTGTTTGTGTATTTATTTAGGTTTCCCCCTCAATCTAGGCATTCTTCTTAGGCTGACTATCTCAGTGTACAAACTGGGAAAAGCAGGTTATATGCAGTTGCTGTCAGTGAGACCCAACTGGGCAAACACAGGTTGCCTGCTCCTGAAGTTCATTTCCCACTCCTTAAAACTTTGACAATAAAATTTACTGTGAATTACCAGCTCCCTTCATAAAGGAACAAGGAGCCAGGTTCCCCTCCTTGATCCTACTTGAGTGCTCAACTCTTAAGCCCAGAAAACAAACTCTGCCTTCATTAAGAGTCCTATTTGCATACACCAGCAAGTGAAATCAGCTGGGCAAAACCTTGCCCTTCACAAGAGATAGCATGTATCCTGTCGCTCTTTACTGGCCAGTAGAAGACTGAGGTTTGAGAACTCAGTCTACAGCAAAGTCCTCCCTCTCCCTCCTCCCTCCCTGGCACCTGGCAGCCTTCCCCTTTAGCCTTCCTGGCTGCATTCCCTAAACGTAGCTCAGGGAAGCCCACTCCAGGAAGCAGGAAGGAGGTTCTATTCTGAATTTCTACCTGCCTCAGGCCTTATTTGCACACTGGCCCTGAGACATGCCTAAGCTTTCCTGAAGAGTCTCCTCACCTTGCCCATGTCCTCTGCAGAGCCAGGCCCCTGCTCCCCCACACACCTAGGGTCCCATAAACATTTTGGAATGATTCCGTGATTTTCCACCCACTTCTCAGAGTCAGTTAGCTTGCCTTGTATGTATCCCTAGAAGTCTTCGTAATCTCTACTGAGAATGGTGATAGTCTTGAGGAAGCAAAGCTGACAGGCGTGCAGCACGATGGTGCAGTGGTGGGCACAGGTAACAGCCTTTGATCCCCTAAGTCTTCACCTTGCCACCTGCATACATAGCACGGTACCATTCATAACCCCTCCTTCCTCTTCCTTGCTGCCTCCTCGATGCCAATTTACATGAATTCCTAGTAGATCTGTAACTCAGCCCAAAAACGATAATGAAGGCTCCACCATGTAACCCAAATGCCCACAGCCCCTCAGGAGACCTCAGGGATCCAGGGAAAAGAATAGGTGCTGTTATTGAATAGAAAGATTAATTATGAAGTTGTTGGTGGGGTTGTGGTCTAAATTTTTCCTCCTTAACCACAGAGGGCTGAAGTTGAGCAGAAAAAATAGTTTATTACAATCTTCTTCTCATTTGGTTTATTTATTGTCAGCAGCCAAGGGGGTCATTAAGTATAAACATATAAAGAGCCTGAGTCTTCCTGGATTATTTGACAAGTACAATTGCTTTGAAGACATAAATAGTACTTACCCAGCACTCAGATGAGCATATTGCAGCTCTGAGTTCTCATGGTACTCGTCATAAAGGGATCAGCCCTCTCCTCTTTATGGCCTTTTCTGCCAGGGTTATTTACGTATTGTCTTCATTCCTGATGAATCAGTAATGGGTACTTTATCTCAGTAATTGAACTTCACCTGAATGGTCCCTGTTGTGTGAACTGCCCCATTCCCTTTCCCATCCCGGGTCTTAATGACCTGCAAATAAATATGGCAGAGTTCTAACCACTGCTTATTAGGAAGTGATTTAGGAATCACTGTGTACAATATGGGCTGTCACCCTACTTTGCCTGCTTCAAATCCACAAATTACATATTGCAAAAGTGAGATGAGGGTACAATCCGTTCAGAACCTTTCTATGCAAACGCGAGACTTGTGAATATGTAGCTTGGCTTGGAACATTATGTTCAGATTTGTAGAAATTAAAAAATAACCTTGGGAATGGGGGAAAAACAATCTAAAATGGTCATGTACTAAGCACCTGGGCAACACATTACCCACTGTTGTCCCCAGGCTAAGTAGTTGGCATTACTAGAAAGGAAAATGAATATAATTATAACCTGTCATCACTGACCTGCCTTCCACACCAAGGCTTGAGAGTAGGCAATTACCTGTAAGAAGGCTCCTGGGGTGAGCTGGAGAGACTTAACAAGAACATAATCCCACACATGAGACATTACTCTTAAGAAGTAATTCATATTAGAAAAAAATTATTTGCATAGAGATGTTTATGTGTATTGGCGATTAGAATGCAACATGGTGAGCATTTGCTAATGTGCCCATGGACAAGTGCGTCACCTGTGGTGAGGTCCCCTCAGTGGCACTTGGCTCTGAATGAGAACACTGGTGGCTACTGAAAAAATATGTTTGCAACAGTCAGTGGAAGACAGTGAACTCCACTGTGGATTCTTGAAAGCCCAAGAATCCACATAAAAATAAGAGCAATTTTTTTGTGTAGGTGAAGGGAATGTTATGTATGCTATTTTCATGAGGTTCATTCTTCCCCCAAAAATATTACAAAATTTTAATTGAAAACAGAACTCTAGGGAGCTCTTCTGAATGTATGATCATTGCTACTATTCACCAAATACTTCCTGGCACGTGGTAGGATTGTACTTCCTGGTTCTCTCACAATGGGTGGGGGCTTCTGACTGGCTCTGACCAAGATCTGAGTGGAAGTCCTGCCCTTGTGGGCACCAAGAAGAGTTGATGATAAAAGTCCTCCTTGGACCCATGTAGACAGAGCCTAATCCCTAATACGACAATTTCCATGTCAGAAATTAGCCACGTGGGGGGCAGCTCACCTGTAAGGCTGGCTCTGTGCCTTGAGAGATTCAGGCACAGTGACAGGCCAGGGTCCTGCCCAGAATGTCCACCCAGCAGTGCATGGTCTTCATGCTATTTGGAGGGGAGGAAAGGCTGCACCTGCATTGACCTACTCATACTCTGATAAGGATTCCTGGGGAAGACTCACCGGAGTGACTTTGGAGCTTCTCTTAGCACTTGGCAGGAATTGTCTATGGCTCATTCCTGTTCTAGAACTCATGACCATCTTCATGGGCCTGTACAGTCACACCAGCCAGAGCTCAGAAGAGCTATGAATGTGATTTAATGCTCTGCTGCCACTATCTTGAATTTGGGGGCAGGGAGTAGTTCTGGAGTTTGAATTCAGGCCCTCTTGATAGGCAAGTGATCGGCCACTTGAGCCACACACCCCAATCTACAATGTTGAAATTGATATGTTTGATAAGGAGTGTAAGACCTGCAAAGTATGTGGCTGATTCTAGAGACCCTAGGAGATCACATTATGAGGTGTCACTTGGTGATCTGGGAGCAGAGCTTCTGCATGCCATAGAGGATGTGACCTCTGAGGGTTCAAAGTGCTTTGGCCTCACCTAGCTCATAGAGGGGTACAGGTCACAGCTGGAGCAGAACCCACACCATGTTTGTTTTAGTTCTGAAATCTCAGCAAAAGCTTGGCCACACTTCTGGATCACTTGTCAGGGAAAATGAGATGTTGTGTGGGTGTCATATAAGAGGTGTCAAGAAGAAGTAGAGTGCATAATATCAGGCCAAGAAGACACATTGGGATGGACAAGAGGCCTGGCTGCCACTGTAGCTCTTGGCCAGACTCACCCTACTCCCACCCCTGGCCTATCCTGTTTTGCTCTCTTGAGATGAAGGTGACATAGGTGGCCATCTGCTGCTGGCACTCCCTAGTTAACCTGCTGTGTGGCCCCTTAGGGGCCATGTTCCTTCTGTCTGTGGCACCATGCAGTGGCCGCTGTCCCTGCCTTGTTCTGACTAGTTCACAAGCAGGCTAATTTTAGTTCTCACCCACCTGCACACCATCGCCAAATTATACATTCTTCACACCAGGCACTTACAACTGGAAAAGAGGTCTGCTTATTTATATTTCAAGACAAAAAAAATATTGTGGCACTAGTCAGCCAACCCTCTACTTTCCCATACCTAGTACACAGGCAGAGATTTTATAGAGTTGCCATCTTTCTTTTGGGGTGTGTGACTCCTATTCCCTGACCCTACACCAGCCCCTGTTGTGTGTGTCAGGGCTCTCTGTCAGTGCTACCCCTTGATTTGCCTTTTCTGTACTAAGCTTAAGGTCAGCTGTGCCAAAGAAAGACATTAAAGAATTTCCCATAAGAATTTTCTTCCTGTGTGCTTGAAGAAAACCTTGAAGCACACCTTGAGCTTACCCTTGGCTCCTGGGACTCCTCACAGTCCTCCAAGAGGCTCCTCTGCCTTAATAATAACTGCCCAGTGCCCTTCCTTCAGCTCTTACTGGGTAGGACACACAGAAACCCCATGGTAGCAAATGGTGTGGTAACAGGTAAGCCACTTATCTGCGGACCTCCAGCTAAGACATTATAGAACTAGAATTCTGATCCATAGCCACCTGACTTCAAAGCCATGATGTCCCATGGTGCCACAATACCTCCTTTTCTCAGTGTGGTGATTGTGAACTCAGTAGAAGGGATAAGGACATGTCTGTGGAAGCTATGCCTCATCACTGCACATGTAGATGCTTGCTCCTTGTTGGGTCAGAAGGCCAGGTGTGAGCTCCTGGGTCAGGAGATGTCCTCTTTGTCCGAGTTCTGAGATTTCCTTCATCCAAATAAAGGCATTATGCATTCTCTACCTTCACCCCAACCTCTGAACACAAAGCCATCTGTGACCTAACTTGTTCATAATTAGATTGTTAGCACATAATTATAAGATTAATGGATTAATTATAATTTATTTGCAAATCATTAAAAACATTACCCAAAAACATTTTCCATAAAAATTGCTTTGGATTGCTCAGGGCAAAGTAATTAAAGGGACAGAGTTAAAAATGAATACACACAGTCACCTGCCTAATTAAAGATAATCAAATAAACCCTAAGTTAACTTAGCTAACCTTGCCACCAGCAGTGTGCCAAGCAACCTGGTCCTTTTGTCCTTGCTGAATCCGATATTCAGGTGCCATGTGAATAAATTATTTCTCCTAAATAGTTTCCTGTCTTTCTCTGATCTGGAATAGCCTCCATTTGATGGCGAAGATGAAGACGAATTGTTTCAGTCTATAATGGAGCACAACGTTTCCTATCCCAAATCCTTGTCCAAGGAGGCCGTGTCCATCTGCAAAGGAGTAAGTAGATTGGACTCCTTTTATAGTCATGGACGGACCAAGAGGGCTGATGGGGGATATTCCTTTTTTTTTTTTTTTTTCTTTTTCTTTTTAAGACAGGATCTCACTCTGTAGCTCAGGTTGGCCTTGAATTTGTGTTTTTTTTCTGCCTCAGCCTCCCAAGTGCTGGGGTTACGGGCTTTTCCACAGTTCTAAGAGAGATGCAGAAATACCACACATGCGTGCTGCTGCCTTTTGGTCATGGAGGGCTAGAGCTTGGTGACATGAAGGGCATAGTGGGACAGGTGAAGGCTGGAGAATAGACTCAAGTTGTGACACATCATAATATGCTTCCATTCCCAGTCCATTTCACGAAATTGTGGTGGGCCACCAGACGTAATCACATATGCTCCTTCTCCTCTGTCACCCCACTTGGCATGACCTAGTTCTTTGTTCATTTCTCTGTTTTTGAGATATACATTCAGAAATGGGCACAAACCATCAATGTATAGATGAATGAATTTTCACGAAACAAATACACCATGAAATTGCTCCCTGGTCAAGAAACAGAACTGCAGAAACCCCCTCCCATCTCACTTTATAGTTGCTACTGCACCACTGAGATAATCAGTACCTCCACTTCTAGCTACATGGATTAGCCTTACCCGTTGTGCACTTTGCACAGATGGAATCACCATGTGCCTGTGGACCTGACTTTTTTCACTAACATTACAGTTGTAATGAGAGCACATTACTAGGTATGGTGTGGCTCCTTCTTTCATATCTTTGGGTGGTATTCACAGTGGGGGCATACTGCAGTCCATTCATCCATTTCTTTCTACTTTGGCCTGAGGCTGTTACAAATGGAACTGCTATGAACTTTCTGAATCCTGTATTTCGGTGAACATACAAATACAGTTCTTTTAAGGAAGTGCCTAGGAATGGAATTTCTGGTCACGACTTAAATAGTTTTTAGTGATCAAGATTTAGGTTATAAATTTATTATCAGACTTACTAAGATGGAATGCAACGTACTTTTTAGCATTTTGTATTCAACAGTTTGTGAAGCACTTGTCACACAGGTGTTTCAAGGGTAAGGAAGCTGACAGATGGCTAAGGGCAAGGAGAACTGATTTTTGCCTTCAAAGAACTCAGTCAGTGTTTGCCTCTATGTTCTGCACCGGGCATGTTGAATTTAACTAGTTGCCTTCCATATTACAGCATGGATTTTCCTAACCCATGAATCTTTTGATAATATTTTGGTCCAGGCAATAAACAGGCATCTAAGGCCTGTTACAGCATTCTGTGTGATGCTGGCCTGCAACACTTCCAGCACTCACAATTTTTAATGATCATGTGCTTTAAAAAAAAAAATCAGATCCACAGGTAGAGTGATAGGTCTAAAACAGAATAAGAATTCTTCTTATTCCATTTGGGTTCAGATTGCTCCTCCTTTCCTTATCATGAAATCATCGTAGAAAGGCCACACTTGTCACAGTATATGTGAGTTTCTTGGTGAGTGTCCTGATCATGCCTGACACTGTCCAGGCAGCCCCACCTCCAGGGCTGGAGGCTCAGCCAGGCCAAGGGAAAGCATTGTCTCTGGGAAGCCAGTATTATCCAACCTTCTCTATTTCTTCATTTTCTAGCTGATGACCAAACACCCAGCCAAGCGGCTGGGCTGTGGGCCTGAGGGAGAGAGGGATGTGAGAGAACATGCCTTCTTCCGGAGGATTGACTGGGAAAAACTGGAGAACAGAGAGATCCAGCCCCCATTCAAGCCCAAAGTGGTGAGTCCTAAAGAGCAGTCTGTAGGTCTGCTCTGTCTCTCCAATTGTAGGCGTGGCCCTCCCACCCCTTTTCTCGAGAGCCTAGCCTCAGGAGGGAGAAGAAATGGCCAGGTACCAGCTCAGGACTGTATTCAATCCTAGAGTCTAAGCAGCCATCATTCCTGCTGACTTTGCAGAGTAAGGACACATGCAGGGACCCTGCATGCTTCTCACCCTCAACAGGACAGCCACAGAGTGCTCCAGACCATTAGAGACCAGATTAGGTCTGTGCTGGGCACTGGACCTGGGAATACCATACCCCACAGAGCTGTCCTCCTGGCAGGACTTGGGCCTCATGTCTGTCTCCAGCTTTCCTGGATCTGTCTTGCTCCAGAGGGAGCCTGAAGCATATCTTAAATCTTCACCCGCTTTATTCAGACTCTTGCTATGTGATTCCCACTTTCTTCTAATTTATTTAACAAACACTTTGTGACAGGCCCTATTCTCAGTGCTCTACCAATATTAATTCACTTAATCTTCCCAACACCCTTATGAGGTGGGTATTGTTGTCCCAAGTTTGCTGTTGAGAAAAGTAAGGCACAGGGAGACCAGCAACTTTTTGGAAGATGCATAGCTGATAGATGGTGGAACCAGAAACACAGTCTGGTCCTTTCCCACTGCACCACGACTATCTCAGTGACAGTCTTACAACTGGTTCTGATAGTTGTAAGTGACTAATGTGTGCCTTCTTAATATTTGTGTCTCTAAAGTGAGCATCCTTTAAGATTCCGACCTCCTCCCTGCTGGTTCAGCCAATTCATTCTCTGACAGATATCCAGATGAACAGGCCAAGGGTCCCTGGGGTAGCAGAGTTACTGACTGGGTAATACACAGCTTTGTTCTCAGAGCAGCACCTTCCTCAGATGTGCCTATGTGTCCTCTGCTCCTAGAATAGAAATGGGTGGTGAGCCCACTGAACTTTATTTTTCTAAAATAATTTTAGCACAGAATGAAGACAAACTAAAAACTGATCAGGTCAGTTGACTTCCTTTTGAATCATCCTTTCAAAAAGGCCTTCAGTATCCACCACCCCACCTCTCCTCACCTAGCCCGAGACCTGGGCATTCTCGGAGGGTCCTCTTCTTCAGGGTACAGAACCTGGCTGTATGGTTTGGGGAGGGGCAGGCATAATGTTAAATGGCACTGCAGATAGATGCCTCAGCACAAACTTCTGTCAGGGGCTTTCTTTGTTCCCTTCTGCCTTTTGTCTTTTTTTGTCTGCTCAAATTAAAAATGTGAAAGCAGGCAATAGCATCTTAAACACGGGAACAACACAAAGACACACATGGACCCTGCTTTAAGGGTTGAGAAAAGTAAAATTACTTGTAAGTTGCTTTCCAGAAATAGATGAGGCACAGCAAAGCAAATCATAAAACACACTTTTCTCTATTTATTTTTACCTTGCTTTCAGAAGAAAATGCTTGTTTTCAGAGTCTCCCACTTGTCATAGGTACTTGTCCCTAAACTCATATGTAGGGAAAGCCAGGGTTGACAGTCAGCCAGACAAGAAAATGAGCTGTTCCCTCGGGGCCACAGGAGTCACTGGAAGCAAAGTGGTTCCCATGGCAGGCAGCTGAGGCAAGAACAGTATTTGCTTATTTTTTTTTATTCCTGAAGTGTTGTTATTTGTTTTGACTGAGTGTTGGTTAAAATTAAAAGGAAGAATAAATTGTATTTAACTGTGAAGAAACAACCCCCAAACTCACAAACAGAAGCAGAACTCCTGGACAAAGACCTTAAAGCTGGAGGTTTTATGTGGACGCAATGCTTGGGAGAGAGCCCTGCCCAGAGAAGGGAGCAAGTTCGTCATCTGCCCACAGTGAGACTCTTCTGCCGAAGAACCTGTACCCAAGGAGGAAGGGGCCAGAAAGAACGCAGAGGGCAGGTGATGAGCCACAGGGGAGACACAAATGGCAGAAGAAGTCAGAAGCAAGTGGGGTTAGACATTTTGTTTTGTCACAAAACAGAAGAAAGTCAAGGACAAAGCAAGAAGCGGGGGGAGTTCTGGTCCCTGGGAGGGCAGCAAAGAGCCACCAGGAGCTGTTTTTCCTAGTCCTTCCACACCATGGGCATAGAGTAGAGCTGCCTCCTAATCTCAAATGAGGGCCGTTTCATGCAAGGGCACCTATGATGTCACTGTGTCATGAGGCCCCATGCTGGAGTGGAAATACCAGGCCAAGAACAACTCAGTGGTTAAACAGGACATGAGTGAAACAGGAAAGCAACCTCAATCCAAGCTGCAAATGCACTGTGGTGAACACAGGCAGCAGGGAGAAAGTGCTGTGGCTTCCCAGCTTCCTCAGCAAAGTAGAGTTCCCTAATCCAGAGCTTCTGAGAAGTCAGAAGAGTCTATAGATAAAAAAATCACAGAGCCGAGTGGTTTTGTTACTGCAAAGAGGGATGAGTAACATAGGCCTCACTGCCTCTGCTGGAAAAATATCCTGAGCCTTCCAGAGCCTCTCACTTCCTTACGTGACTAAGGGCCCCACCTGTGAGTGGCTTCACCACCTTGGCTGATGACTTTGGTGAAGTTTACCTGGTGGATGTCTAGCAAGTGCTGGTGAATCAGTTTCCCTGAGATTTACAGGGTTAAGGACTGACTACTAGATGTTCTCACACACACTGATCCTGGTTCTCATGGGATCAAGCCTTTGCTTATTGTAAAATACCAGCTGAAGAACTTCAGGGCTCTCAGTTATTGGCTGGCTGCTTCTAGAGATGTAAACTGTGCTTGCAGAATCACTAGTCTATCATTTTCATTTTCATTTTTATTTTGAACCTCTAAAACAGGATTATTCCAGAATTACTGACCTCTTGCAAGAGGGTAGAGGTATTCTATTTCTGAACAGCCACTGGGCTTATCCAGAAGAATTAGGGTTCCCACAGTATGCAACCTGCTTATCATCTTTCTGGCTACCAAAGTGACATTGGTAAAGTTAACCTTTAGACCCAAGTGCCATGCAAAAAAATGCACAAAATGACACTTAACAGTGCTGTGATCCATCAGGAGTCCGCACAGGACTCTCTGTCTCCCAGTGATACTAAGGTGAGGACCTGCAGTGCACAGCCTGTGCCATGGATTCTGTGTGAGTCATTCATTCAGGAGAGCAGAGCAGGAAGAGATGGACACATCCAGTATGCAAGACCTTGGCCACCTTGCCTGACAAATCTGAAGGCTCAGAAGCAAGAAAAGAACCTGTCCTGTAGTGGCTCATAGTGGAAGGGACCAGTACTGGACAAAGCCATATCTGTCCCCAAAAGGTCACTATGTGCTATTGTAAAGATAGATGATTTTTCTGGAAAACAGATGGATGTCTTGGCAGGGTAGAGTTTTTCATGTGCTGGTTTATTTTGTAAAACAAAAGCAAAGACCAACCAGCTGTGCTATCCTGTCCTGTCCTGTCCTGTCCTGGAGATAGAACTGCCATGTGATTGTCTCTCCAGATTCTTTCTGAGAAATGCAGTGTGAGCTGGGTTAGGGATTATCTCAAAGAAACAACATAGAGGACCCTGCTCCACAGACAAGGTGCATCAGCTCAGCTTTTACCTGATGCTCCCTGCAGCAAACCTGAGTCACTGAAAGGAAGCCCATCAATATTTGGAAGGCTCCATGTAAGAAAATGCTGTTGTAAAAGAGATGTCACCTCTGATTCATGTTCAGTTACAGAAGGAGAAATGGGAGTGTCCAGTTGCCTCCCATAGTGTCAGATAGCCAAGGAGGTACCATGCAAAAGGCAATACAGCCAGCCTGCTTGGCCACCTGACACTTGCCATGAGCAGGACAGCTCTTCCTTTCTGTTTTGCCTGGAAAATGAAAACTCCAAGGTTCCAATCATTGTCACTTTGACTTTTGAAGACTTTGTTCCTGGTTTATTATTTATGTGAGTAAAATGACCAAGAGCTGTCTTCAAATTTCCGTCATCCTGCCTGGGATGACTGGCAGCTTATACAGATACTGAAAGTGTAAAGTTAATTGATTTTTCATTTTTTAAGTCTATCCGTTGGCACCGAGGAACAGAATGGTTAGTTCACAGGCAAACCAGAAACAGTCACTGAATGTTAATGGTTATTAGAGAGGAGAAATTAATCCATAACATTAACACCTAGAAACATTCCAGAGTCCCAGGCAAGCAGAGCATTTTGAAAATGGGCTGTCTTTCATAGGTGACCCTCCTTGGGAAATTACTATAGTTGCTTCATCAAGGAGAGAGGAGAAAAATAGAATGATTTTCATCAGGACACCGCCATCTTTGCATCAAGAACCAAAGAGAGGGCTGGTGGAGTGGCTCAAGTAAGTGGCAGAGAGCCTGCCTAGCAAATGTGAGGCCCTGAATTCAAACTCCAGTCCCCCACACAAAAAAAGAACCAAAGAGAAGAACACTGAGAACAAACGCAGGTGCCCTCTTCGGGGGAAGGCACAGTCCGGAGCCTTTCCCAGTTACTATGAATTCCTCATTTCACAGTGCCATTAACTTGAGTTTAATGATGGTCTCATTATCAAAGTTGGTGCAGTTCTTTTCTAAAAAACCACTTTGAAATTATTTTAGTTTCAGACTTGTAAAAGAGTTGGGGAAATAGTATAAGGAATTTCTATGCTCCCTACTCAACATTCCCTAAACATTAACATTTTACCAGGCTTGCGTTCTTCTTTTTCTACTCTCTTTCTGAGCCCGTGTGTATAGACACACACATACACTTCTCTGAGCCATTTGAGAATAAGTTGCCGATGTAATGCCTCTTTACACTTAAATTCTCTGCATATTTGCTAAACATAAGGACATCTCACAGTACACTGTTCTTTTAATAATGACTCTGTAAAGTTACTTCTACAGAGCAGCAGCAATCCAGGTGAAGGAGGAGGGGCCCTGCAGAGACTACCTTTCTAACTGATAGAATCCCGTGGGCAGATCTAATCAGTTCTCTTGAGCAATAGGCAGATTCATTCTCTTCGCCTTTCCCCT